CCCCAAAACCCCAAAACCCCAAAACCCCTTAAAGGTGAAATATCAAGTATAGAGTGAAATAACATAAATAAGATTCTTAAAAACGTCAATTAGTATTCTGATAATAAAAATCTTCGAATTCTTGAATTGATACGGAATTAAAGTACAATATAGAAGTGAATTTAGTAGATAAGGCAGCTTCAGCACATAATAACTTGAATTGTATCTTATCTGAGCCAACAAAATGTGTAAAAAAGGATTAATACTCTTTGCATTGGATTCCAAGCTTATTCTTGAGTTATATTTGGATACAGTGGCCGTGCATTGTCAGAATTTCTTTCGATCTTGTTAATGAATGAAACTTAATCTAACAATTAAGAAATGCCAAATTTTTGAGTTTATTAGAGCAGTGCATATAGCAAATTAGTGAAGTTACTAGCTTTTTTACCAAGAGATGTTTTGTTTTCGGTCGGTTAAAGACTGGTTAGTATATATTGTGTGGTTTATATGGAGAAATCTATGAGATTTTTTAATAATTAAGTATTCCTTTCACCGAGAAGACTTAATTTGCATATCGAGTGAATGACTACTCTAATTTTAGGCAAGTTATCTTGATGAAGATTGTGACCGATCTTCTCTGATTGTATTGTTAATTGCCAGATTTTAATTCCTTGAATACAATCTCAGCTTAAATCTTGGTATACTAAGTGTGTGCACTCAAATAAGTATGATTGGTTCAGCATCAGTATAGTCTTCATTGTTGGATGCAAACTAGAGTTTGGATTAAAACTTGTACTTAAAGTTTACTTTATATGGAATGATCCTCAAAAGCTAAATCTTGGTGAATGATACTTTTATTCTAGTGTTCAGATTTCCCTTCTATTCATTGTGACTTGATCCCTAATAGTTTTAGATCTTCCTTAATTAATGAAAATCAAATCCTAGTTTATTGGACGTCAATTTATTCAGACAATTTCTACATTTTTAAAGCGTATTACGGTTATAATATTAGAAAAATATAATCTCAGGAGTTTCCAACCAGCTTTTAATAAAATTCTTGACTAGCGAATAACTTTGTAGAATAACTCTAACGTTAAATAATTAATCTTCTCAAAAAATTGCCTTATATTTGAAAAAATCAGTTTAAGTTCAATAATATTACTTGAAGCAGTCTTAATTCAGATTGGACGAAATTTAAAGTTGATAGCTTAAAAGGTAAAGAACAATTGAAACAATATAACTGCAGATAAAGTTAAATTAATTATATAATGGTAAGTTCTATCGAACTATAAAATAGAGGTAAAGATTTCTTAATGATAAAAATGACTCAAAGATTGCAAAATATAGCTTAGGTATTGAAAGGCTAACCCTAAGTCAAGAAGTATGGCAAAATTGGTAATCCTATAACCAAAATCTTGAGAATTAATTACTGAGTGTCATTAAACACATAAGTTTGCTAATTAAAGAATTAGCTTATCATTCGCTTATTCTTTGGAATGGGGTTTTGGGGTTTTGGGGTTTTGGGG